ATGTCTAAAGAATCTACCCATAGTAAGGTTTTGGACACCACAAATCTTAATCGCAGCATCCGGCCCGGTTAGGTCAATTGCTCCCCGACCTCGATTTCTCATATTTTGGTATTTTTCATTCCAGGCAAAGATGAAATTACAGTGACGGAGTCCATGTTTGTTGCTGCCAAAAGTGGTAATATTACTCGACTGGAGAATTTGTTGTCACGTGGCCATGACGTCAATTCAAAAGATGACAATTGTGTGACACCATTGCGAATTGCTGTCCTGTATCGCCAGAGCGAAACCGTACGTTATCTTTTAGAAAAAGGGGCAGATCCATTCGTAAAAGGAAATTACAAACGCAACCTTCTGCACTTAGCATCGTATGGTGGCCAAGTCGCCATTATCGATGAAATGATTAAACAAGGTCTTGACATCAATTCAAAGGATGGTAATGGCGACACTCCTTTAATACTTGCTGCCGCCTTCGGCGGAAAAAAGGCCGTGAAATACCTTTTACAGAGGGGAGCAGATCCCACTATTAAAGGCTACTACGGTCGAAATGCTTTGCATGCCGGAAATGATGTCGCTATTATCGAGATACTACTCTCAAGTGGAGTGCATATCGATACAAAGGATGCTGACGGGAACACACCGTTGATTATGGCCGCTGCAAATGCCAACGGAGACGCTGTGAATTATCTCTTAACCAAGGGAGCTGATCAGGATGTCAAAGGCCGCTTGGGGAGAAACACCCTTCACGCAGCTGCTCAAGGTGGTGATGTCGTCATCGTCGAGACAATGCTGTCCCATGGACTCCACATTAATTCCAAAGACAGCCTTGGTGATACCCCTTTGATCATTGCTTCTGCGTGTGGGAAGTTGGAAGCAGTTTGTCTCCTTTTGGTAAAGGGAGCAAAACCTCTCATAACAGGCCAATTCGGTAGGAATCCATTGCATGCAGCGGCACAATGTGGTCATGCCGCAATTATCGAAAAATTGCTGTTTCACGGTGCTGGAATGATTAACTCAAAAGATAATGATGGAAATTCACCCTTGAGAATTGCGACCACTTCTGGCAAGAGAGAAGCCGTACAGTTTCTCCTAGATGCTGGAGCTGATCTGTCCGTAAACATGAAAAACCGGTTTGATACGAGTCTGTTGCACGCAGCTGCGAAGGGAGGTGATGTGGAAATCATTAAGACAATGCTGTCCCGTGGTTTAGATGCAAACTCAAAAGACAGTGATGGTCGAACGCCGTTAATGATTGCAGAACTCAACGGTAAAACTGAGGCAGTAGCATTCTTACTCAGTAAGGAAGGACGTTAATGCCGTTCCTTGCAAAACAGAAAGACAGCCACCACAGACCTCGTACACTCGATAAGCATTCCTAAGCCTCTTTTGGCAAACATAATTACATGTATTACTAAGAAGCTTTAGGAATTAAGCTTATTTATTACTTTGTTACTTTACATCTCATTTAAAGGAGCCATCATAGGATCTTTCGTTTAAGCTCAAAAACTTAACCATCTGAATGCCCTGGGAAAACGCCCTCGTATCAAGTGCATAGAGTTCAATTTTAATGC